ATCTCTAAGTCTTGGGGATCCTCATGATATCTAAAAGAGTGCAGAATTGAAGCACTAGATGCTAATTGTCGAAGTGGGAGGAAAGTTAAGTTACCTCTATCCTCTTTGGTTGCTGCGAATGAACCACTGGTTTCTTTGCCAGAGATTTTGTAACATGGGCTCGCTGGAGCAAACTTTGCGGCCATAATACCAGTCACAGTAATAATGATTGTCATTAGGAACAGAAAAACGAGAATTTGCCACAATCGGAAAGTGAATCTTCTGTTCAAAAGATTCTTAACACCATGCTTTTTGGTTTCCGAATCCTTAGCATCTGGCAAGAGCTCTTGCATATCGAACTGCACCATATCAGTAGACATGGCGCCTAGTAATGAACCACTCAGGGTCCCAAAGGGGGGGTCCTTGGAGCCCTGGAGCCCTGAAATTTCTGCTGTGGAGCCCGGAGCCCTACCATTTTACTGACTGGAGCCCTGATCCTTTTTTGGCTGTGGAGCCCGGAGCCCAAAGACATTTTGCGCTGAGCCCGGAGCCCAGCATTTTCAAGTTTGATCATTCGAGTTCCCAGATTGCATTGATTCTTGATTACTGCCTCTTTGTGTTTGCTTGTGCGCGTTAACGGGCATAAAGAAACAGAATCTGAAGAGAGGACAGTACATAATACAAGTATACGCGGTTATCTCAGTTTATAATGATATGCAACAACTGTCCCACGCACATCTTCATCTTCTTCTTGAGCAATTAATGCTCTCTCTGTGGTGGTTGTGGCGTCACCTTCATCCAGTGCCAAAAGCATAGTTTTCTCATACCACTCCTCTTCAACCCTGACAGTCCCCTCTTCTACATCTTCGCATGGAATTGAATACTTGAGAGTTCCTTGTGACACAACAGTCGTGTTCTCGATGCCAGATTCGGTAAAATGGAATGGCAAAAGGTCCTCGAGGAACCAGAGATAGTCGTACGTCGTACCTCTCTCGCGTTTCAACATGAAACTCCACCGATGGCAGGCCTTGTCTGTCCCCAGTTTATATAAACACGCGGTTGCATCAAGCAGATCTGCCTTTTTTAACTCGCTTGATTCAGTCATCTCGGAATATGTTGAATATGAAACGAAAGCAACAACAAGGCGAACTGACCGAGCGGTCTGAGCGGTCGATAATAATAATAGATAATATAACCGGCTGCTTGGGTTTAAAAAATTGATCAGAATTGCTGACTTTTTTATTTGCGTATTTGATTTAGCGTTAAAAATGGAATTTTTACTTATCAAGATTGTAGATCAGAGTGGAGCCCGGAGCCCTAAAGCAGATGATGTGGAGCCCTAGAGCCCTGAAATTTTCGTCTTGGAGCCCTGGAGCCCTAAACCCCTTTGGGACCCTGACCACTTGACTCCGCAAGCCACAAAATGCTTTACATCTCCCTTCAGATGATCATATATACTTTTTATCCAGTTTTTAAAAGCGGAACTTTGATTGGTCTAGGGATATTTAAGTCATCTATAACTTCCTTTAGCGGATGTCTGTTTTGCTGTGGATTAAGCAGGTAGTGTAAATGTAATATAACCAGGGGCACCCAACTAGAATATAGTTCAAAACCACTTAAACATAGCATTGTTGAACGTATTTTAGTTTTAAACGGTAGATATATTTATCCCCTAAAAATATTTCATCTGTTCGGATTTCCTAGCTCAAGCCTCGGAGTAGTGATCCGAAAATTATAGGGATCAAAACTTACCTTTTCGAAAATTTCACCCAGAAAAAGGGCTCCCGAAAATTTTAGGTGACCTTTCTAGGGTAGAAATCCTTCAAAAATGGGCAATTATACCATTTTTTACTGATGTTCGAAAATCCTAGGAAGTTCTAAGAGAGGCAGCCAAGCAAGAAATTTTACAACAAATGTTCCGAAAATTCTAGACTCAAATCGTCTCCCAAACAGATATTTTCCAAAAATTGTCTTTGGGTGCCCCTGATATAACTATATTATTATTTTTTTTATCTTTGGAGTAACAAATCTTACACAAGTGATTATAGTAAAATAATACAGCGGAAGTTCGAACTTTCATAACATCAGTTTCTAATTATAGTCTCTGATTCGCCATTTGCGTGGTTCTTGAATCACAGAGCACAATTATATTAATCAAGACTGAATTATTGTACATCTCACTCTGTATAAAGTTGTGGAATGTTACGTCAATCGATTATTAGGAATCGTATGCGGGCCTCCATCCTTCAGGAAGACTGAAAACAGGAAGTCGTCTAGAAAGTAACCTGCGATCAGGTGTCCTTCTTCCCTTTTTGTTTGGAAAAAATAAAAAACGTGTGATCGCACGTTATCTAGAAAGAATCTGTGCAATGATGATCCGCATATGAGGCGAAAGAATTAAGCCACTTAGCCTGGCTGGGTGGCATTCAGGCGTCGAAAGAGGAGGGAGAGGGAGGGAAAATTTGCGCTTTTCTCCCTCTGTCTCCCTTCCCTTTTTAGCGCTTGCCACGCAGGCTATAGGCCCTTTATGGCTACTGAGTTTTCTCCCTTTTGTTCAAAAAAACTGAATAATGGTATCCACTGGATAAGTCTTTATCCTTTAGTTAACGCAATTGGTTTCCCTACCCCGGGCATTTGACCACTAAATTTGCCAGGGGAGCCATCTTGACGCGAAAGGCGCAAGATCAGTATGAGGGTTTTTCAAATCATTAATACGTGTGGTATCATATTGAGTAATCCTCAATACTCGCAGGAATTTTCAATAATTAAAAATACACTTAACGGATTGTTCTTGCTTGCTGTGTGGACTTTTTTTCTAGTTTATTGAAAATGTCAGCGAGTATTTATCTTCTTGGATCTAATACCTGAATTCCCATACAAATCCTTTGTTGTTCACGGTCCTTTTAAGGATCACGCAATAAGAGACCACACGTGATAAAACTCTCATACTGAGCTTGGGCTGCCTGTGATCATTCCACTATCTGCCCCGCGTCCAGAGGGGAGGGGTTTTCAATTAGCTAGAATACATAACTGCGATGAACTTACAGTCACACATGTGTTGTAATCTTTAACTAATGTGAGAAATATATGAGTGGCGAAATAAATAAATAAATAAACAATAATAATACTAATAATAATAATGTTCTTCTTCACTTCATTAATAGTGCCAATTACGCGCCGTCATTCCCTATGAAACTAAACGTTTGGGAAGAAATTAGTTCACAACTTTGTGTCAAACAAATGTGTCTCTCAAGCATCATATCGAAAGTTAAAAACGACAAAAAATAACTTTTGAAAAAGCGTTAGGCAGCACAAATTTTTAAAAGCCGCAATTGCTATTCCAGTTAGTACATCCGTTCCTTCTTTTAAATTTGTATTGACCGCGTTATTTATACCTCTCCTTAGTGTTCCGAGCCGTTATTTTCATGTTTCACCCGTTTGGTGGCATTTCCCACTCGTGAAAATTCAACCTCGTCCCCAGGAATTTTCCCTTAGAAAATGGAAGGAAAAGCCCTGGAAACGAGATTGGTGGAGTTTGAGAAATTAGGGAGCTTAAGCAACGACGACAACGACGGCAACGAGAACTGCAAAAAAGGAATAGGTTTAGATGATGCACCTGCATCACCCTTTTTTGTCCATTTATTTGCCTTCACTCCACGACACGACGTAGAAATGCCTAATTTCACAAGACTCTTTTTCTTTTCCTGAACTACGATTCAGTGCTTAAGAATTGAACTCCAGAAGAATTTGCCAACAATTGACGCATTGAAAGAGATAAAAGAAGCTCGAAAAAGCACGATGCAGCGTGTTTTCACTCAGTTTAAGTGACGTTTTTGTAGCCGTCGCTGTCAATCGCCATCGTAGCCTGCGTAGCTGGCGGTATTGTGTAGTAGTCGAGTGAGATTTGGCGGCGGAGCCGTTGTAATATAGTCGAGTGAGATTTGAGGGCGGAGCCGTCACGAGCGGCGAAGCCGCGAGAAATACCGCCTGCCATAGAACCATGATTTTTCGAATGCCGCCCACTTTTGTCACCTTAGCTGATCGCAATAAAATCAGCCAGCCAAAGAGAAACCTGCAATTTGAAACTTCCGATTATTTTCGCGCGAGACAGTTTAGAAATAAGCGTTGACAAGCTAAACACGACTCCTAAGCTCGTGATAATGTGAAACGTGACCTTGTGAGTTTGCTTGAACAGAGGGTTTTTTTTATTTTCTCGGCTCTCGCGCGAAGGTTACTAGCACTACACAGTGCATGTATCATTCTAAACTTTGACTGAGTAAATCTTTTTTTGCAACACGAGGCTTAACATTAAAAGGTCATGAAGCTGGTTTGTTACATGCATACTAAGTAACCATTTCCGGTGGTTTATTCTTCTGTAGGTGTTCCCCCGGGGGGGGTACTTTAGGAATTTCTGGGTGGGGATGTGCCGCTGGAAGCCTGGAACCCTTAACCTATACCAGAGCTAGTTCAGCTGAATTTTGCTACCCTATACTAGAGTAAACCCCCCAAATACCCCTATCCTAGAGTAGCTGTTTCCCTTGTCTAGATAAAATCTTCAACCAACTGATCAGTTTCCTGAAAAATGATACCCTATTCTGGACCCAAACGCTCTGATTTATATACCCAATCCTAGAGTAAACTGCCTGAAAACCATACCCTTCACAGCGGCACATACCTATATAGCCCATATATGGCAGTACCCCCCCCGGGGGTGTTCCTGATAGGATTTGATCTCAGATGCAGTTGTATAGTGTTTTAATTTTCTTTGACCTTTGTTTCTTACGGCTAAATAAAGACAATTCCAGCGCTGTGAAGTTTAAAGACGCCATTTCGGCAATTTGGTCATCAATTATGCTCTTTTTAAAGCGGAAATCACGATCACAATCACTTTACATGTACGTCTTTTTCAGTTTGCCATCTGCTCCCTTAAGGGGACTGGGACTGAGCATGACTGAGTAAGGACGTGTGATTGTTAGCTCCGTAACTTTTGTTGTACTCTTCCATGCGTTCTGATATTTTTT